TCCATCTAGGAGTGTAATTTTGACAAGGAAGAATCCTATTTTAGAATCTACAAATGGAATAACAGAAAGGAGCTTGTTCTTAATAAATAGGAAAACAGCCTGCCATAGTGGACTTCATATAAACTTACGCATTCATTCAAGCAGCAATCTTCTCCTACAGCATCTTCTCCTATCTATCTCCTTATTTTCCATGTCTGCATCAAAATAGCTAGTTCCAGCAGTGTGTAATAGGCTCTTCCTCTGCCTGTTATCCTGGTGAGACATGGAATTGGGGCTCCATTGGTGGCTTTTCATACTGGTTACATACATGTTCAACTGTGATTGTACCTACTCAGAGTTGATTAAAGTAATTGAAAGCTTTTATGAAACTCATAGTTTCCAACTTTAGGCTGCATCAATTCAGAGTTGAGGATTTTTGTCTGAGTTTGTTAAACCTGCTTATTAAAACGGACCCTTGGTTTCCTTACATAGAAAACGTTGAACCAATCTGACTGCATGATCTGGTTCAATTGTCTCTGTAAAGTTTCTTAAGGTGACATGTGGTATGAATTGCCGCTCTATAAATAAACTGATCGAATTAATATGATTGACGGTGGGTCTTCACTGGGTATGTAGTACTGATGGGACAAGAGACAGGACGAAGTAGTAATAAATTTAAACCAGCAGCTAATTCACATTTTATTTCGAATTAAGAGTCAGGAGACCAGTTGGTTGAGGAAAAATCTATACAAAAAAGCCCCCCAGATGCAATTGAAAAACAGACACAGATCTTTTCAGCAAAAAACAAAAAACAAAATGAAAAACAGCAACAGAGTCCGTATAGTAAGAAAGTTAGTATGATAATCCATTAAGTTTCAAAAAAACATGGTGTCTAAAAGTTTTGTTCCTATCAGGCTCAAAGCAAAACGCCCCAGTTTTCGAGGTGGAGAGACAGTTAGGTTAATGTTTATTAAAGGTGAAACTGCGGAGAACAGCATGGGCAACTAAGGCAGTAACCTCTGTAGGGGAAAACGTAGGTTAATGACCACGTCTATCTGAACGATGAGCGTTTGAGTCTCTAACATGGTCTTAAATTTCAGTCCATGCCACGAGAATGAGGTTGGTTACAGCAGATCGGCTGCCAACAAAGCGTGTCGGGCCCCACCCAGAGAGTCCCAGGTGTTGAAGTCCCAGAGGTTGGATGACTGGCAGGAGATCAGAACCAAACAGAGTTCAGAGGAAAGCAGGATAGTCCAGAGGGCGAAGCCGAAGCCGGTGTTGAGGACGTGCTTGGGAGCCAGAGCCAGGAAATCAGAAGTCCGAAGAGATACCGAAGGGAAGTCCAGGACCGTGTAAGGAATCAGTTCCAAATTCAGGACACAGGCAGAAATCCAGCAGGAGTCTAAAGATGGGTCAGGTAAGTAGATCAGAACAGGGACAGGCAGGCTCAAAGGTCCAGAGGCAGAATGGGTCCAGGATAAGGCAATCAGAAACACTCGGGTATGCTATATGGTGTGGGGAATATTTTCTTGGCACTCTTTGGGCCCCTTGGTACCAATTGAACATCGTTGCAACGCCACAGCCTACCTGAGTATTGTTGCTGACCATGTCCATCCCTTTATGACCACAATGTACCCAACTTCTGATGGCTACTTTCAGCAGGATAATGTGCCATGTCATAAAGCTGGAATCATCTCAGACTGGTTTCTTGAAGATGACAATGAGTTCACTGTACTCAAATGGCCTCCACAGTTACCAGATCTCAATCCAATAGAGCATCTTTGGGATGTGGTGGAACGGGAGATTCGCATCATGGATGTGCAGCCGACAAATCTGCGGCAACTGTGTGATGCCATCATGTCAATATGGACCAAACTCCCTGAGGAATGCTTCCAGCACCTTGTTGAATCTATGCCACGAAGAATTGAGGCAGTTCTGAAGGCAAAAGGGGGTCCAACCCGTTACTAGCATGGGGTACCTAATAAAGTGGCCGGTGAGTGTACATAGATGGTAGATAGATAGTCTTCCTGTTTGAAATTGTGGACCAACTATGCCCAATATATTGCTGTTGGTATCGGCAGATACTGTTGGATTTTTAATATGCAGAATTTTTTGTTACTCTTGCTGGTGATTTTGAACACTTTATAAATGAGGCACTAGAATGTATCTGCATTTCTTTTTCTTCTGTAATTATAAATATCAGTGTATTTTGTTACTCAGCGATAGGAAAGCATTACATAAAAACGGTCTGAACGCTTGCCAGAGGTGACTGGAACTGACTGAATAAATGATTTTCATAATAATAGCGCTATCAGCCATTATTAGTGGAGCCCTGATTTGAGAAGTCAGCATGACAACGCTCAAGAGGAAGTGCCTATTTCAAACCATTGGAGACTTTGATATCTTTATACAGGATAAACAATATAAAAAATAGAGAAAGTAAAAGACAGAGCAACAGCGCTTCAGTTGCTAAGGAGAGGGAGATGACATAGTGGAAGATTGTCATGGTGGAAGGATTATTGATTGATTGTTCCTTATGTTCCTAACAGAGCACTTCGCTCTCAATCTGCAGGTTTACTAGTGGTTCCTAGATTTTCTAAAAGTAGAATGGGAGGCAGATCTTTTAGTTATCAGGCTCCTCTCCTGTGGAACCAACTACCAGTTTTAGTCCGTGAGGCAGACAACCTGTCTACTTTTAAGGCTAGGCTTAAAACTTTCCTTTTTGATAAAGCTTATAGTTAGAGTGGCTCAGGTTATCCTGAGCTATCTCTATAGTTATGCTGCTATAGGCTTAGACTGCTGGAGGACATAGGGACCCCCATTTCATCATTCTGCTTCATTCTCTCTCTATTCTCCTATTCTGCAGAATCTGTTAGTACAATCTCTAACGTTCTGCTCTCTCTGCTTTTCCTCAGAGTAGCTTTGCCTCGTCTGTTCCTGTTTGACTGCAACGTCATCCTGGAAAGAAACATCAGCTGTGCTGCTTCCATCAACACCCTTGTTTATAGATGCTGGAGATCGGCCTGTTTTCCAGTGTGGTCCTGTTTCTCTGACCGTGACTGAGTGGATGATCTCTTTTTGTCCTCTGGCATGGGAGCTGGCTCGGAGCTCGTCTGCCTGGCTGTTTGTTTCCTGGACGGGGCCGCCTTTTACAGCTACTTTTTGTGTCTCTGCTTCTGTCTCTTTGAACCCCAGTCTGCCTCATCAGATGGCACTGAGCCTGGTTCTGCTGGAGGTTTCTTCCTGTTAAAAGGGAGTTTTTCCTCTCCACTGTCGCTACAAGCATGCTTAGTGTGAGGGATTGTATTTGAGTCAATGAGTCAATGCAATCAAGTGGTTTTCCTTAGATAGAAAACTTTGTATCAATTTGACTGTATGATCTGGTTGAACTGTAAAGTGCCTTGAGATGACATGTGTTGTGAATTTGGCGCTATAGAAATAAACTGAATTGAATTTATTTGAATCGATTAGGTATTGCAGATACAACTCAGGTTTCAAAACGGCATCTTACCTGTTTCAGACAGTTATTGTGCATTTTGCTCTATAAAGTACTTTAAAGAAATTAGAATTACTATTGAGATGATTACAGAAACAAACACTGCCAATTACTGCTTCAGATTATATTATTCCACCAGAAAATTAAACATCAAATCTCTTTTCAGAACTCTGATTTGTGGTGAATTAGTGGTGTCAACAGCCTACTTCTCTTATTGGTTGAATGGAGTTTCAATTAATTTTATAAGAATAATGTAGGTAGTACCCTGCTTAATTTGAAAAAACAAATAACCAATAATAAAAAAAAAAAACGCTTTAGAGCCCACCCTTTGCACGTGGTTTAAATGATTTTACTTTGAACATGCACAGTTTATGTCTTCCATTTTCAGACAAAGTGTAGAGGCTTTAAAATGCTGGCAACGGTTCTCAGTCATCCAGGTCATAGTCATTCCAAAAAAATTAAAAACAATCCACTGGACTAGGTTTTAAAGTTTGAAGACGTTTCACTTCCCACCCAGGAAGCTTTTTGTTAGAAAAATGTATATGTTATAATTTTATTTCCAGTTACAGCTATCTGGCCCAGCAATGTTAAGTGTTACTCTAAATGAGGAGAGCAAATATTTCTCTCAGGGCCTGGTATTATCCAGCTATGCAGCCGTAGGTGACTTACATAACTTCTATCTTATTATTAACTATTATAATAAGATAACTTCTGACCCCTCCTAATAACATCAGACTCCTCCTGGTAACGTTTGACCATTCCTGTAATTCCATTTAAGTCGAATGATAAAAGCAGCAGAAAAAAAGAGGTTTGGGCAGAGTTGAGTACAGACTTTCAATGGGTCTCACCTTGGTCTGTCCTCTCTCTCACTTTTGCAGCAAAGAAAAGAATGCTTGCTCTGTTTGGTTTTCATTTCTAGGACAATAACTGGTTATGATTATTACCCCAACACTTTTTCAATTCAAAATATAAGGAATAGTGTGGAGTTTGTGGTTTTATACAGTAGCCCAATAAAGCCTTGTTATTGTTTTGTAATATTCAAATTGGAACAGAGTAGAGGTCCATCCGTTTGAAATGTGGGTCATTTGGTGGGGGTCTTTAAAGAGAATAGATGGTCTGGCTGAATAGACAAACTCAACGTTATTCCTGACATTTTAAATTGAAAAAGCTTCCTGGATGGGAAGCGAAATGTTTTTAAACTTGGAAACCAAGTCCAGTGGATTGTTTTAAAATCTTTATTTAACAAAAAGCAGCCTTAAAAAGAAATAAAGATGAGGGGGAAAAATATTACATTTCAAGTGCATATAATAAAAATAACAATGTTTTAAGAGAAATTTGTGGATTCAAGTTAATTTATTTCAGTAATTAAATTAAAAGAAAGAAACAAACAAAAAACAGTTAATAAAAGCTGATTTGTTCAAGCTTTTTTTTTTCGTTACAATAAATTTCATCCAACAGGTGATTATTTTAATTTGACAAACCAACATACGTCGGCCTATATACAGGCCTGTGTGTTTATATGTATTGTTTTATGACTGACATGCTTGAGGGAGGAGCCTCACCGACCCAAGATGGCGACGGCGCTCGCGCTCCGTTCCAGTGAACGGGGCAGTAGAAGATATACCCTGTATATATTTGGATGTCGCTGATGTTCCTTTTTTTTTACGAGAAAAGAAGCTAAAACAAAACAAAAAAATCTATAAGAAAGAAAAAAAAAACGTTTAACGCGGGGGAACGACAAGACATTATTTGACTTACTGTCACATTTTATTTTTATTTTAAATCTTCCACCCTTATTGGCTATAACTGTGAGCTCCAGCTTTGAACGAAGGATTGCGTAAAACTCAATATTCTCACAGCAGTTGTAGCGTCAAAACGGAACAGAAACTGGCCTTATTGTTGGTAATTGGAATCAGCAGCATGATGCGCATCGCTTCCCCCGCATCCGGAACATCCTATAGAGATGGAGCTGCGTCCAGCATCGCTGGTGAGTGGAAAATATCTGATATACATGTATGCGTAAGTGTGCGCATATTATATATGATACATGTTCTGATTAAGGAAGGGTGTAACTAGACTGAGAGCGGGAGGAAAAATAAACCTAAACGGAGTTATATATTTAAGAATCGGTGTGTTTAAGCACAGATGTAATTAGGTTTGTCGATCAGGACGTGCAACATGTTGCTATAGACGGCTGATATATATATATATATATATATATATATATATATATATATATATATATATATATATATATATATATATATATATATATATATATATATGAATGTCATTCAAAATAGCATGCTGAATTGAATATATTTGAAATATTATTAAATATATTGAGGTTTCTCTCAAAATATTAAAGTTTGATTAATTTATTCTAAATGAAAACAAATTAAGTCATATAAACTTTAGAGAACAGGATGACAGCCAGATGTGTTAATTGGCCTTTAGTTATTTGTTTTGAAACTACACTACCTATAATACTTTCAGGCTAACTTTCATCCCATATATTCAGATGTTGCACTCAATTTACTCAGTATATCATTCCAGATATTCAAGTTATATTCAATAAAATCCAAATTGCATTCAATGTACTCAGAATATTATTCAAAATATTCAGGTTTCATTCAAAATAAATAAGTTTAATTGAGTATCTTCAAGTTTTATTCAATATATTTCAACTTGTGTCATTGGACAATTTAAACATTTCCCAACAGTTCATAGTCATTACCTGTAAGACGAAATTTATTATAACAGGAAAAGTCTTGACAACATGAGCTTTTATCAAATTTTTTGCTTGTGTGTGTTGGTTTCTTTTGCCTATTAAATTGAATTACTGAAATAAATTAATTCAATAAATGAATTAATTTAATAAATTAATTTTGATTCATGAGTTTGTCTTCATGCCTTGTTATTTTTAATAAATGCATTTGACAACAGATGTTATTTATTTCAGTCACTTCCTTTACTAAGATCATTATATATATAGATATATATAGATCAAAAACATAATAATAAAATCTTTACACACCACTAAAAATATAATGATGTATCTAAAATGTATTTATGGCACTGGCTCCTCACATTATTCTTATCCTTACTGTGACTGCTTATTGATGGATTTGATTAAATAATAAATAAACAATAATTGATATATATATGCTGTTTGAAAATGCATATATATTTTTCCCAGGTTTTTATTGTCAATACACTGTCACAAGTACAGAGCTATGATATAAATATGCATATCATAGCTATATATGTGGTTGTGTGTGCAACATTACTTTTAGATGACTGAATGACTGCTAAACTTTCTTTCATTTTTTTTTATAAAGGTATGCAAGTTGATGCCATGGAAAGCTGAAGCTGGAAATACTGTCCAAGAAATTCAGGAAAAATCTACATTGAAGTTTGGACTGCACATTGAACAGAAATGCATAATTGTTGACGAACAATGAAGATTAGCATTGATTCCCAACTCTGATGAGCCATAGCATTATTTAGTCTGTACTTGTGACAGAGCATTATTGATTGCAGTGAGCTAATAGAACAGGGATGGTGTGACACAGGAACACATCTCTCCAGTGCTGTTTGAAAAGCAGACACGATTGTGCATTCTAAGAGGAAAAAATAACATTACGAAGAACAAAAAGGAATAATTGTCCAAAATTATTTTTAGCCTTAATCCATTTCTGCTCGACAAGATACTTTACTATTGGATAAGAAAGACAGAAGATTTGGTTCTGCGTTTTTGCCATGCCTCGCAATCAAGCTTTTTCTGAACCAGAGTACTCTGTGGAGTATTCGGCAGACTGCTCTGTGACATTGCCCTCTGACCCTGGACAGGCTGTTGGAAGAACACACGATGTTACAGTTCGAAATTCTGGATCCTGCCTCTGCTTGCCCCGGTTTATGCGCCTCACATTTGCTCCTGAGTCGTTGGAGAATCTCTATCAGACCTACTTCAGAAGGCAGAGACATGAGACCCTTTTGGTGCTTGTTGTGTTTGCTGCCCTTTTTGATAGTTACATCCTCATAATGTGTGCAGTGGTTTATACCTCTGAAAAGTTTGCTTCCATTTCAGTGGCATCTGTGGGATTGGCAGGACATATTATTCTCTACCTGCTGTGCCGCTTTGGACTGTTACCAGAGCGGATCTCAAGACGTTTTGTGCCCTATTCCCTCTGGGTTCTGATAGCTGCACAGATATTTTGCCACTTGGGACTCAACTATGCTCGTTTCCACCAAGCCAGTGACACAGTGGGCTGGCAGGCTTTTTTTAGCTTTTCTTCTTTCCTCACTCTGCCTTTGAGACTGGCACCCATTGTACTCATCACTGCTGTTTCCTGTGGAGTCCACACTCTAGTTCTTGGAGTCACCATCGCTCAGCAGCAGCAGGAGAACATCCAGGGATCTGTACTTGCCAGACAGGTAAAAATTGAGGAGGAGATTTGGCTTGTTTTACACTTAGGTGGCATAACAATTTAGCTTTAATGTTGTTCCGGTTGGTATATATAATATTTCAAAAGTCTAAACAAAATTCGATTAAATTAGATAAAAACATACCTGAATCATAAGTCCAGTCTCATATTACTTTAGTGTAAATAAGTCACTTGACCTAAAGCCATTAATTTTACAGAGAGAAATATAGAAAATAGAAAAAAAATCTGTCGATTTTATTGGGCTCCAATAATGAGTAGCATAAATTTTTGTGTCAATAGGTTTTAAGAAATAAAAGTAATTGGTTTTGGTTTGCCAGATTGTTGGGTTAGGATAGTTATTGACCGTCCGCTCAAGAACTGCTGTTTGTGAGAGGAGCGAGTAGCCAAGCAGAATCTCTGAGCCAGTGGATTAAACCATTTTAACTCAGGGCTTGAGGCTTCCTCTACATGATCTGCTTCTCTTTGCCCAATGTTCTTTGTTTCTGGTGAGTAGAAATCCTTTGTCTTATAAAACCAGTGTTGTTCTCTTCAGTCAGCATATGGGCTAAGCTGTTTTATGTAAAAAAAAAAACTTGACTGTTTGAGACAGTTTGAATGGTCCAAATGCCAGATCTTAACCCTCAAAGTCATCTAAGTCCTGATAATTTTTTATTTTGCCATTAAGAGCAGAAATTGTTTTCTTTTCTCCCCTGCTAACTCATATTGATTTTTGTTGAGAACAGTCACTACCTTTGGGAATAATCAAATTAATCTATGGTGTCATATTTATGTAAAAAAATCAGAGAGCAAAATAAACATTCTCGCATGTATATTAAAATCCAAACGGTGGCCGGCGAATGTTTTTGAAGCATTTATAACCAACAATTTATATTTATAACAACAATTTGGCACAATCTGGCACACAGAGGTTTAGCGATGCTGGTGACACCAAAAGTTCAAAGGCCCACTGCTCTGTAACTGTTATACGTAGAGGTCAGAAATTTTCTGAAATTGTGGTTGACATGATGTAGGACAAATGTAATAAAATGACACATGCACATTTTTCAAGCACGTTTTTATTACTGCTACTGTATTACTTTTCAAAAAAGATCTATTATTTTCGAGAAGAAAAAACCACTTTGAGTCATCTTTGAACTAATGCAGTTTAGGCTGTGTTTTAGTCACATTATTTTCCTTTTATTTTCAGAAACTAAAAGGTGTGAGCTTTCAAATGATGTATCACACATGTAATTTGGGCTGCTGAGTTCAAACCCCACTCCGACAGACTGCCACTCTGAGTCCCTGAGCAAGACCCTTAACCCCACCCTGTTCCCTGGGCGCCGCACAATGGCAGCCCACTGCTCCCCAAGGGGATGGGTTAAATGCAGATAGTTCATTTTGTTGCTCTCTACTTGTGACTGTGTAATGACAATTAAAGCTGGAAAAAAATAATGCTGTGGGAACACCAGATCCGCTAAATTACATGATACCATTAAATGCAAAGTCAACACACTGTGCCAGTCATGTCTGATCTAACAAGCTGAAACAACTCTGTTTACATTCTATAAACATGGAGCACCGCTGGTAAGAGGGACAGATAAAAGAGTGAAATAAGGAAGCACGCTGACTAGTCCTGGCTTCCTTCCATGTTGTTCTCCATTGTTTACATTCCTGATTTCTGTCACTCTTGTGACATCATCAACGCTAACCCTGCATTGGGGACATCAAGGGATTAGACCTAGCTTTTTTTGACCAGGGGGAAAGGAGCCGAATGGCAATTGTTAGCAGGTCGACTCATGTTTATAAAAAAAAATTTTAACCCTGTATTTCCAGTGGGAATGAGGATTAAGGGATGCGCCCAGCCACCCTGCTGAGGAAGCTAATTTCAACCCGGCCGCTTTAACCTCTGTTGGGAACCGCCCAAGTATATGCTTCAAGTCTTAGCAGGAGGGAGCCAGCAGAACCACCTCATCGCCAAAAAGCAGGGGAACCAGACCCCTCTGACCAATGGCTTCTCCTAGAAATTCTTGCAATAATGGTTATGAACAGGACCAGCGACAAAGGGAAGCCCTGTCGGACTTGCACCGGGAACAGGTCTTACTTAATGCTGGCAATTCAGACCAAAACTTTACTCCAGTTGTACAGAGACTGGATGGCCCTTAGTAAAGCGCCACCAACTCCATGTTGCTGAAGTGCCATCCACAGGGTACCACGAGAGACATGGTCAAATGCCTTCTCCAGATCAACTAATTACATTTGGGCTGATTAGGCAAAGTCAGAAGCACCCACGAGCACCCTGCAGAAACTGTAAAGCTCGTCCACTGTTCCATGGCCAGGACGAAAACCACACTGGAAGAAGTTTCATTTGGACATTCATTTAAATTCAAATTCAATAACAAAAAAATACTTAAATTAATCCCAAAGTCGTCATAAAGATCTTGTACAACTTTTTCACTAAAGTGTGTGCGCGACGGGATGTTGTAATGTGGTTCAAGCACTTTCAGTGCAAAGCAGTTGTCCAAAGCAAGGGCTTTGCACAACTCACCAGGGTCTCACCAGGAGATGACGCTTCTCTTTAGATCTTAATTTCTACAAATCATGACAGAATAAATTAGATCAAAGATTGGCGTTTAAAAAAGGAATCTTGGGGGACCAGCCAATGGCCCATCATGGAAGGTGGAGAAATTTTCAATGGCTACTACTGTATAAATGGTATGCATTGCAATGCATTTTGCCTTTCAAACACATTGCAATGGTCAATGTTTTTCCACTGCCATGAGGCTTTCTTGTGCCTCAGTGCCTACACACCTTCACAGCTGTGGTTTCCGGCTCGTAGCAATTGCCCGTGGGTAAAGAAAATCACTTGAAAATAAATTGATGGTAAATAAATAAAAAAGAAGAAATCCCTCTTACATTTATCAGTCAATGGAGTGGTCTAAAACAGTATTAGCCAATCAGAAGAAGAAGGGGACAGGTCTTAGGAAAGCGTGTACCTCCTCCTATTCTTTCTTGCTCAAGTCACCAGATAGATTGTGGTACAGTCCTGAAGTTTTAAACGGTCAATAGAGAGATGTGTAAAAAGTCAAAAAGTAAATAGATTAAACTTTGTGTTTGGAGAGAAGGATGATGGAGAGAACGGAATCGCATGGAGTGGGCACAGTGCAGTTCATGAATTCCAAGGGAAGATGTCACGACCATAGATAAATGTCTGAAAAATAAATGGTGATGGGCATGGCTGGAGGAGACAGGGCGAGATGGCAAGCCATTTAGCAGCTGGTGCAGGAAGTTAGGTGAACCAGGTGCTTGCTTCTGCACGCTGTGCTCCAGGAAGCTTATTTACGCATCCAGCAGCAAAAAGGTGCTACGCAAACATGACTTATAGGCCGTGGTCATCAAGCTGCTGTTCGTGCGGGCCCTCACTCTATACATCTGTCGGGAGCCTCCGGCAGCAGCTGATGTGCAAAGCAGTTGTCACGGATCATGTGTAAGCTGAGCCAAAAATATTGATCCGAAACGGATCATGGATCAATGACGATCCGTTTGCACCACTGCTTGATAGCATTCATTTTGCCAAAGGGGGTAAAGTTATAGGTGTTATTTTTGACCAGGATATGTTCTTTAGTTCCCATTATAAATATGTTTTTGGATTTCCTTCTTTTTTCTTAGGAAATTGCCAAAAATAGAAATATCTTGCACAAGAGAGATGGAAAGGTGTAAAAACTCATCTATGCATTTATGATTTCAAGGCTTGACCCAAAAATTCATAAAATACATTTAAAGGCCTTATCCAAAATGTTTCAGCAGGAATTTTGGTGACTACTAAGAAAATAGATAATTATTTCCTTATTTCATCCTTCTTTCATTGGCTTTGTGTAAAGTCCAAACTTGAATTAGATTTTTCTTCTCGAAAATAAAACCCTTAAAATCTCAGTTTGCGACCCCGCCCCCCCGTGCAGCGGTTCAGCCTTTCCGGCTGTCTGTGCGATCGGCCTTCTCGATTTGGTGCAGGTGCGTGCCATTTTTAAAAACCGAGGAACAACTACAATGGACAACAACGACGAAAGGTTAACCGAGGAGGTTCGGGAGTACAACCACTTGTACGATGCCTCGGACAAATTGTATAAAAAACTATATTGTCATGGTTTTGGTTTTGTTCAAGGTTTATTTTGAGTTTTCCTTGGTCTTATTTCGATTCTTGTGTTCTAGGTATTTTTGATTGTATTTGAGTTCTTAGATATTTCCTGTTTTCCCTCTTGTGTCAGTCTCTTTTTCCCTAGCTCTCTTCTTACCTCTGTTAACACCTGCTCCCAATCTGCTAATTAGCCTGGTTTTTGTTTCTGTCTCTCATATAATCTCCTCCTGTTCAGTCACTCTTTGCTGGTTTGTCATCATTACTTTGTTCCCTTCTTGTTGTGAGTACGGTATTCTTGGTTTTGAGCATTTTTTTCGATTTTTGCTGCTGTTAAACTTTTGTCATTAAAACGTAAAGTAACCACCTCAAGCTTTTGCTGCATTTGGGTCCTGTCAAACCACCCCCATTGTGACATATGTCCTTGTTCCTGTCTAGAAACTCTAGACTCTAGCATCTTGCAGATGTGCCATTGTTGTTTTGGAAGAAATACAACACGAGAACTCCGGCGCTGCCGAAGTTCTCGTGACCATCCTCAAAAGTTTTTGTGACCATCCGCCAAAGTTCTCGCGAGTTCTTGAATAGGCTCCCCCTTGCGCTTTGGCGGGAAACTGCCCGATGCGTCCCTAGAAATTCCAGACCGATGGTGCAGAAGCATAGAAGCAAAACTTGTTCGTGACAAGACCCAAGCGACATTTGATGTGTTCGGTTGCAGAAGTATGATCTGCACTTTAGGTGTCTCTAAAACTAGAACAGCACCTTTTTAAATTAATGCTCCTAACACACAACAGAGCTTTAAGCATTTAATGAGTTTTTATTGTACGGCTTTATTCATTATATACTGAGTACTGACTTATAATCTCTTTTTTGTATTTTATCAAGCTGCTGGCGAACATTGTGATCTATATTTGTGCCATCACTGTGGGTGTCACCTCATATTACATGGCTGACCGGAAGCATAGAAAAGCTTTCCTGGAGGCAAGGCAATCATTGGAGGTGAAACTTAACCTGGAGGAGCAAAGCCAGCAACAGGTCAGTGGAACATTTATACACATTTTGTAGTATTAGGGAGTGGGCCATTAACAAGATGTAGTTTTCCAAGTCAACTCCCAGTAAAAGCAGAAGTCAAGTCAATGCCTTATTCTATGACTTCATAATATTAAATCAGAGGGGATTAAACATGATGCATCTTATTTACATGTAAGTCTATGGTTGAAGTGGATGAAGGTGCATCAGATGGTCCTGCAGGGCGTTTTGAGCAGTGCGTCATGAATATTTAATCATCTGAGGCACATTCTGTTCTCATTAAGCAGTTGACACTTGAAGGCTAGAAAGGCCACCCCAACCAGGTGTTTTGTATTTTCCTACTTCCAGAACAAGCAATTCTCCTAAAACAGAGGGTAGCAGCAGTGATACTATCAGATGGAGCTGATGATGACATGATACACCTGATTTAACAAACCTACTGTCATTCAGACAAGGCATACAAAACACTGTGAGGATTGTATATCGTATATATATATATATATATATATATATATATATATATATATATATATATATATATATATATATATATATTAGTGCTGTCAATCGATTAAATTTTTTAATCGCGATTAATCGCATCAATGCCTGAGTTAACTCGCGATTAATCGCATTTTAATCGCACATTTTTTTCCTGATTGAAAATCATTTAAATACTCTCTATGACATACAAAAAAAATACATACAGGCTAGGTTTGTGCCAATGTTCTTTTTTTAAAATGAAAACAGGTCACAGATACTGATTTATGCCAAAAATAACAAATATGTAGCCAAAAAAAAGGCCCTGAAAACAGGCTGATGTAAAAGACAGTCTTTACAGTTAATACAGTCTTTTGAACAAAGACAAGCATTTTACCCTACTGCTATAAAATTTAGTAAAGTTAACATTAGATGTTAATTAACCAAGGTAATAATGAACAATTTTCAATCAATACATCAAAATCAATAGACCGACATCACTAGATGGAGGTAGTCTATGCTCTAGAAAGTTACTTTTCAGCCTCTTAACAAAAATGAGAACACACACACAAGCACCCACCCACCCACACACACACACACACGATACCGACCTGTGGCGTACACAGACGGCAAGAGTGTCGTAGCAGATTCCATTTCACCTCAGTAATCTGTTTTCTCAGCGTATTTCAGGTTGCTACTAGTTACCAGACACTCAACTTGTTTGTTGGTGGTGGGGCTTAAAGAAAAGGCACTAGCGTCACCCAGTGTATGAGCGTCTTTTTCCCTTGAGGAGGTCCGCTCTCGAAGCCTATGAGAAATGCATACACTGGGGGAAAATAGCCCCGCCTTCCCGTAGGGTGCAGCGGGATGTACTTGGAAAATTGTACCATAAAACCACATAGCGTTAATCTCACGTTAAAAAAATTATCGCCATTAAAATGGCCTCGCGTTAACGCGATAATAACGCGATAATTTTGACAGCACTAATATATATATATCTATATATATATATATATAGATATATATATATATATATATATATATATATATATATATATATATATATATATATATATATACACTACCATTCAAAAGTTTGGGGTCATCCAAACAATTTTGTGTTTTCCTGAAAAATCACACTTATTCACCACCATATATTGTGAAATAAATATAAAAGAGAGTCAAGACAGTGACAAGGTTTGAAATAATGATTTGTATTTGAAATAAGATTTTTTTATACATCAAACTTTGGTTTTGTCAAAGAATCCTCCATTTGCAGGAATTACAGCATTGCAGACCTTTGGCATTCTAGCTGTTAATTTGTTGAGGTAATCTGGAGAAGTTTCACCCCACGCTTCCGGAAGCAGCTCCCACAAGTTGGATTGGTTGGATGGGCCCTTCTTGCGCGTCATACGGTCAGGCTGCTCCCACAACTTGTGAATGAAATTGGCTCCAATCAAGCGCTGTCCACTGGGTATGGCATTGTGTTGCAAAATGGAGTGATAGCCTTCCTTATTCAGAATCCCTTTTACCCTGTACAAATCTCCCACCTTACCAGCACCAAAGCAACCCCAGACCATCACATTACCTCCACCATGCCTAACAGATGGCATCAGGTATTCTTCCAGCATCTTTTCATTTGTTCTGCATCTCACAAACGTTCTTCTTTGTGATCCAAACACCTCAAACTTAGATTAATCTGTCCACAACACTTTTTTCCAGTCTTCCTCTGTCCAATGTCTGTGTTCTTTTGCCCATCTTAATCTTTTTCTTTTATTGGCCAGTCTCAGATATGGCTTTATCTTTGCCACTCTGCCCTGAAGCCCAGAATCCTGCAGCCACCTCTTCACTGTAGATGTTGACACTGGTGTTTTGAGGGTACTATTTAATGAAGATGCCAGTTGGGGACCTGTGATGTGTCTGTTTCTCAAACTAGAGACTCTAATGTACTTATCTTCTTGCTCAGTTGCGCGACGCGGCCTCCCACTTCTTTTTCTACTCTGGTTAGAGCCTGTTTGTGCTGTCCTCTGAAGGGAGTAGTACACACCGTTGTAGGAAATCTTCTATTTCTTAGCAATTTCTCGCATGGAATAGCCTTCATTTTTAAGAACAAGAATAGACTGTCAAGTTTCAGATGAAAGTTCTCTTTCTGGCCTTTTTGATCGTTTAATTGACCACACAAATGTGATGCTCCAGAAACTCAATCTGCTCAAAGGAAGGTCAGTTTTGTAGCTTCTATAACGAGCTATACTTTTTTCAGATGTGTGAACATGATTGCACTGTCATGATCGGTTCTCTAATGGAGACCCAAAGATGCAGAACACCACTGACGGACACAGGATGAAAAGTTTAACAAGTTTATTTGCACAATCACACTGAATATGCAGAAGGCTGGTTCGGGCCTGGATTCTGGTTTCACCGGAGTCTGCGTGAGAGACAGCACAGTTAGGGACTGTTGACGGGGTTTGATTTCCAATGGTGCACAGATAGTACCTTGAGGGTTCTTGAGGTTCTCTTTGGGAGAGTCACTGTTGGTTCTGGAGAAGGATTTAATAGCAGAGTCCGTTAGCTGCTTCAGCGTCTCACGTCTAGCTTGAGCAGACCTTGGCCTTGGTTTCCCAGCTCTAGCCCAGAGCTGCTTGGAGGTTGTCTGAGAATCTTCAGGGTTTGGCTCTGAGGGTCGGCTCAGCAGGTTAGCTCTTCCAGAGCTTTCACGGAGGAAGCACGAGTTTCCTAGAGGCACAGAAACAGAGGTTAGAATCCAACTAGGAATTAGAGTCATGGAAAATCACTGAGATCAAGGCTTTAGCGCTGACCAACTGGAACAACACTGCGGCGTTGAGGCAAGGTCTGAAGACAGCTTATATAGTGGGTCCTCTGATGATCTTGATGAGCTGCAGCTGTGCAGAAGGCTCCCTCAGAGGATCCACGGCGGACTCTGCTGGAGAAACATGGGATTTTCTCCAGCTCCCAACATGCACAAGGGTTTTCTAATCATCAATTAGCCTTCTGAGCCAATGAGCAAACACATTGTACCATTAGAACACTGGAGTGATAGTTGCTGGAAATGGGCCTCTATACACCTATGTAGATATTGCACCAAAAACCAGACATTTGCAGCTAGAATAGTCATTTACCACATTAGCAATGTATAGAGTGTATTTCTTTAAAGTTAAGACTAGTTCAAAGTTATCTTCATTGAAAAGTACAGTGCTTGACCTTCAAAAATAACAACATTTCAAAGTGACCCTAAACTTTTGAACAGTTGTATATATATATATATATATATATATATATGGAGAAAGATGGGATTTTCTCCAGCTCCCAACAGTACCCCCCCCTCAACGACCACCCCTTGGCGGTCCGGAAGAAGTGGAAGGGCAGGAACGCTCGTACTCCTCGATGAGAGCAGGGTCGAGGATGTAAGAGCCAGGGACCCACTGACGATCCTCCGGTCCGTAGCCCTCCCAGTCGACGAGGTACTGCCATCCGCGACCTCGTCGACGGGAGTCTACTATGCGGCGCACTGTGAAAGCCGGATGGCCATCGACTTCCAGGGCGGGTGGTGGGGAGTCGGACGGTGGGCACAGAGGGCTCGAGGAAACAGGCTTGATCTGGGAGACGTGGAAGTTCGGGTGGATTCGGAGGGACTGGGGAAGTAGGAGACGGACAGCTGATGGGTTGATTACACGAGAGATCTTGTAAGGGCCTATGAATCTCGGGGAAAGTTTTCCACTCGAGACATCCCCTTGAGGGGGATGTCTCGAGTGGAAAGCCACACCTCCTGGCCCACGGAATACTCAGGGGTGGGGCGTCTCTTGGCGTCAGCGAAACGCTTGACAGACTCAGATGACTGGTTGAGTGTGGCGATGGTCTCCCTCCAAATCCTCCGGCAGCGGCGGATGTGTTGGTTCACGGACAGCACCGATATCTCTCTCTCATCTGCGGGGAAAAGAGGTGGTTGATATCCGAGACTGACCTGGAATGGAGACTGTCCAGTGGATGCGGAACGGAGAGAGTTGTGGGCATATTCTATCCACGGGAGGTATTGACTCCAATCCACAGGGTTATTAGATGTTAGACAGCGGAGGGTGGATTCCAGATGCTGGTTCATACGCTCGGTCTGGCCATTAGATTGAGGGTGGTAACCTGAGGTGAGAGATGGTTTACAGCCGAGAGCAGAGCAAAAGGACTTCCATACCTGAGATATGAATTGGGGACCTCTGTCCGAGAGGATCTCCTGGGGGATGCCATGAAGCCGGAAAACATGTTTAATAAGAAGTTGGGCTGTCTGGAAGGCCGTGGGAAGTTTTCTCAGGGGAACTAGATGGCAGGATTTAGAGAAACGGTCGACAATGGTTAGTATGGTGGACATACCTCGAGAGACAGGGAGACCGGTGACGAAATCGATGGCTATGTGGGACCATGGACGCGAGGGAACAGGAAGGGGTTGAAGGAGACCAGAAGGAGGTTGATGTGAGGCTTTGTTACGAGTACATGTGGGACAAGCCAACACATACTCTTTAACG